GGCGTGGCGGGGCGGGCCATCCCAAAGTCCAAGCCAGCCACAGTGAAAGTTTGCCGACCCTACCCACCAAGCCGCCGACAACAGGCACGGCGAGGGCGGCGGAGGGCAGCGAGGAGGGGTATTGGGGGCGAGGTGGAGGAAGCGATAGGGGAGAAGAAGGGACCCGGCAGAATGAAGGGGGAGGAAATAGTAGAGACAGAACGATTAGAGGGATCGGAGCAACAAACAAGCCAAGAGGCGCCCCCCTCAAGTCAGCGCCGAGCTGCAGTCAGTCGATCGCCTGGGAAGAGTGGCAAGAAACGCCGTCTGCCCTTCCCCTCCCGCGCCTCTACCTCCAATCTATATCAATCAGTCGATCGCAAAAGGACAGCATCACGCAGCAACAACGTACGCGCCCTGACAGTGGATGAGGTCGGAAGAGTATTCGACAATGACAATATGGACATATCGAGCAAACTAAATTAAAAAAAAAAAAAAAAAATCGTCACCACAACAAACGTCTGTATGGGTTTAGGAAACTTTTCTAGTACAGTTGCTGCACACTAAAGGTGACTGCTTGGAGCTGCTTGGTTCTCAAGCAAAAGTGGCAATTTCCAAGCACTGTTTGCTTGAAAATTACCACTTTTGCTTGAAAGCCAAGCAGTCACTTTTAGCGTGGAAACAAAAATTGTCGTGCTACAGTAAGCTAACGACTGCCACAACCCTCATGGAGTATACTTCGAAGAAGCTCAATAGTTGCACTAGCAAGGTGTAGGCTAGTTGGGAAAACAAAATTTTTGCTCTTTCTGCAAATAAGTCTATATGGTAACAAACATGGCGACGGCAATTTTTGTTTCCGTGTACCCGCACGCAGATCACGTATCAAATATTGAAAATAAAATAAAACATTGACAAAACGTGGGGGCTATACTGGTCAAGCGTCGCGGGGCAGCAGGGTCACCGGGGCAGGGAGCTCGCATGGCGCCGGGCACCATAGGCGTCGCGACGCAGCGACGACGACGCACCGGCGAAGCCCCACCGTTCTGAAATATGAATAGTGGGGGTTTTGCTGCCGCTCGTGTTTTATCGCCGCACCAGCTGTTGCTATAGCCAGCTAGTCAAGTGGAGGAGGAGGAGGA